TGGATATGCAGTGTGCATGTAAAGTCGAGCTCAGCGTGAGCCGCCATGGTCTCACACCCACAAGAAACGCTAAGGCTGAATGTGAATTCACGATTTGTGAGGCAAGCGCTTCTGTGACTGGTAGGTTGCTTGAGACCAGCAAACGGTCACCCTACAGATAGCTCACCACATTCACTTGCTCACAATCCCTCTGGTCCTTAACACTAAATTAACGAGCTTACTTACCTATTATTTGACTGTACCACCCACTACTACTGTTTGTCATTATAAATGGAAGCTTGGTTAAAAGCTAGTTATCGTTAATGAGAAAAGAGGTTAAGAATCAGTCTTCAAGGAGTCAGCTCAATCCTCTAGCCATGGACTCTGACGAAGTGCTCGTCTAGCGTTTTCAAGGCAATAACGGGAGGAAGAAGGCATGCAGCTCACCTTGACAAGGTAACCATAACGATTCCATTCGGTCTCTTCTGCATCTCTCATGCAATAGACAGATTGCAGGACGAATAGAAATGCTAGAACGAACCACATTCCGGCGAACGGAGATAAAATGAACGAATGCAAGCATTTTATTCGCAGGATGTGTATTGTTTCTAATTCCTGCACTCTTATCTACGACCATGTGAGAATCATCAGCGATCGTTTGAGCGCAATTCCCAATTAAACAAACCGATCAACTCTATTCGCTGATCTCTCTCTAGCGAGATATTGACTAGGAATCTCAGCATTTCTCGGATTTTTTTGCACTTGAAAAGAATGCCAGTGACTCGAAGAATATGCATCACTGGGCTCACAAAAATGCACCTTGACCTAAGTTACGTTTTGGAACATTAATAATTTTTACAATGCTTATGAGGCCTTCCGAACCGTAAGGCGGTAGGTCGTTTCTCAGTCTTGAGAGAGAAAATAGGTTTTGTCTAAAAGAAACTGCAATTATTCATTGCTATCGTTACCAAGGTTTGCAAGCACAGGTGGTGAGTGGTAATTAGCGCCGCTAACTATGTGCATGGTCCTGGGGCCATATTTCAGATCACTTTCATGGAAGAAGCAACCAGATCAACCGTTCCTGCGCCCAGACATTTGGCAGGGCAGCGCTCAGATATTTTGGAAGTCCAGTTGAGTAATTTCAGGAAAAATACGAATCTCCCCTCCGTCAGACTTGGGCGTTTTAATACGACGTCCCCGTCGCTTGGTATTCACTATCTTTGGCACTTGTCGCCAAGCCTTCCTTGACACTTTCCTAAAGTAGCGCAGAATAATTTGTCCATCTTTTCCCCAATTATGTCGTTGCTTCTATATTTCGATGGATGCGCGTTGGGTGGGTGGGGAGGGCGGGGAGATCACAATCGCATTACGTTCCTTGTCCCTTTCCTAACCACACAGGGGGAGGGAGTCACCAACCAACTGCTGCTTCCAACCAACAACTGCAAAAGAATTTTTCCCAGCGCGGCAAATTTCTCCCAAAGGCAAATACGATCTCTCCCTCTCCTGGCGACGAGCGAATACGGGCCGTCCTCGAGAAATCCTTCTAACGACATAGATAGTGACCGTGAAACAGGAAAAATCAATCGCTCCTCCTGTGCATTCTCCAACCTACGAGGTGGTCTGGTGCTGTTCTGAGGACGAAACCCTGATTGCTGTATCGATGACCCGGCAGGTCATTGTACAGGTCAAATTACATCCAAAATGCACCACGATTCTGAGTGGAAGTTGAAAGCGTGGCGCGTCCAAAAAGTTATGCATTATCATTGGAATTGTTTTGTTTGTCCTTTGGTTTGGTGAGGAATAAGCGGGTGAGCAGGTACAAATAATTCAGCTCACTTGCTCAAAAGCAGCTGAGAACTGAAAGAGTATTTCGTCAAACAGTAGATGACGCGATATCTATTAGTTTCACATCATTTGGCAAAGTTTTCTCCCAAGCGGGGTACACCACTGCAATGTGGGAAATTTTCCCTCCCCTTTTTCTTCTCTCCCACCGATGCGACCTCATCATCTTTC